ATATATATATATTTGTATGTATGTATATATGTACATATAGTGTCTCTGTCTGTCTGTATGTTTGTTTGTCTGTATGTATGTATGTATGTATGTATGAGTGTATGTAATATGTATATGCATGGGCCGTTGATGGAAGTAGTGTATTTATGTACGTGTCGGGCATAGGTATACACATGTGCATGTATGTACGTCCGTACGCACTCAGTTTTGATTAGAGCATGTACTTGTTTCATGTGATGCCATGTGCATCTATGTGTTTTCGGATATGTATATATGAATATATATGTACACACTGATGTACATATTATATATACACATATATATATATATATACATACACACACAAACCTGCGCACGGGCATGCCGTTCACTATTACATATGAGCATGCATATGTATGTAGACTTGTCAATCACGAGCATCGGCGAGCGATCACGAGTCTAAACACCTCGGTTCAACCGTGAGCGAATATGTGTATGCACATATGTAAGTAATATTAGTATATATATAGAGAGAGAGAGAGATGTGTGTGTGTGTGCGTACATATATATATATGTATATATGTATGTGTATATATATATATATAGCTATGTATGCGTCTGCATGTATGTATGTATATATGCATGTATGTATGTACGTACTTATGTATGTATGTATGTATGTATGTATGTATGTATGTAGGAAGTATGTATGTAGGTATGTATGTATGTATGTATGTATGTATGTATGTATGTATGTATGTATACGTGTTTGACAATATATATATATATATATATATATGTGTGTGTGTGTGTTTGCTTGTTGGTGCACGCATATGAATGTAAGTGGGTGTTGCCACCGGCACGTATGCTTGTGTATTTGTATGTGTGTGTACACAGACATGTGCACCCGATTTTCTTGGTCTCAGCATGCCTGAGTTTCCAGGAGCGACAGCGCCGTGGTGCCCTTTGGCAGGAGGCCGGGTGTCCATTGTTGCATGCATTTGCGGCTGGACGATTCGACTATTGGCTTGCCCTGAAGCTCGCTCTGACAAAGAAGACGCCAATCACTTGTAGGGACCGCGACGTGTAGCTGTGCGCGTGATGAAGTTGAGGTGCAAGGTTCTAGTTGTGCGGTTCTGGCTGCTGTTCTGCCAAGATGCTTCCACACACTGCAAGCTCAACTTGCCGCAAAGGCGTTGGCCAGTTGCACGCCGGAACGACAGGATCTCGGTGTTTCATGATGTCGTCGCATCTACATCCTTCGATACCCACGCTGCTTGTGGCAATCCAGCAGACTCTGGGAGGGCGGCATCTCCGATCGAAGCAGACATCTTTTGTCCAGGGTTGTTCGATACTGCAGTGAGAATGGCTTGCATTTGCAATGGATACTGTGGGTGTTCGAGCAACCCGTTGACTTACGTTGCTGAAATTTATTCCCCGTGGACTTCCAGTATGAAGCCCATTCCATGACTGCTGTAGTCAGACAGAATCCTACTCTACTTCGCCGGAGGTCTGGTCCTGCTTCGGGAAGCCTGCAAAGACTGTGTTTGAGGTGTTTTAGTATGGAGTTGAGTCTGGTGTGTATACTATCTACAGCGGGACGCGTTGAATTTTGACACAGCCGTCCACCCAAGAACAGCCGCAAATGACCACTCATTGCATGTCATTTCTCTTGCCGTCCCTGCGAAAGGGGCCGCGTGCAAGCATGCGAAAGCACTGTAACTTGTAAAGATTCGCTGACTTGAGGTCTTAAGTCCTGCAAATCGCCTTTGCGAACCTTACAAGCTGGCGGCTGAGCAGTCGTCGTGTCTTCGATTCAACCCTCAGCTCCAGTCACGATATGAGGCTGATAGTTTGAGGGTGAGGGTGGGGGGGCCGGGAGAGGGGGGGGCGGTCTCCTACGCAAGACGACTTGATCTCCTACTCCAAACCCTGAAAGGCAAGACCCAAACCACAATCCCCAACAATCAGGCTTGCTCCTTGGAGTTCTGTCTGCTCTAACCCCTGCGCGAGGCCTACTTTGTCTCTTCCTTCTCCGAACCCTTGAAGTCTTCAGTCACTGAAGCTGCGATTTCGCGAGTAGCCTGTCCGTTGCCTATGAAGAAATTCTAGCATGCGTGGATGGATGGACGATGGATGTAGTGTCTGTATGTAGGTATGTATGTGAGTACGTATGTATGTGTGTAT